ATGTACCCTTACAGGTATACCGACCGTAGATGTAGTAAGTCTAATGTACCCTTACAGGTATACCGACCGTAGATGTAGTAAGCCTAATGTACCCTTACCGGTATACCGACAGTAGATGTAGTTAGTCTAATGTACCCTTACAGGTATACCGACCGTAGATGTAGTTAGTTTTATGTACCCTTACAGGTATACCGACCGTAGATGTAGTAAGCCATATGTACCCTTACAGGTATACCGACCGTAGATGTAGTTAGTCTAATGTACCCTTACAGGTATACCGACCGTAGATGTAGTAAGTCTAATGTATCCTTACAGGTATACCGACCGTAGATGTAGTAAGCCTAATGTACCCTTACAGTTATACCGACCGTAGATGTAGTAAGTCTAATGTTCCCTTACAGGTATACTGACAGTAGATGTAGTAAGTCTAATGTACCCTTACAGGTATATCGACCATAGATCTAGTTAGTCTAATGTACCCCTACAGGTATACTGACCGTAGATGTAGTAAGTCTAATGTACCCTTACAGGTATATCGACCGTAGATCTAGTTAGTCTAATGTACCCTTAGAGGTATACCGACCGTAGATCTAGTAAGTCTAATGTACCCTTACAGGTATACTGACCGTAGATGTAGTAAGTTTTATGTACCCTTACAGTTATACCGACCGTAGATGTAGTAAGTCTAATGTACCCTTACAGGTATACCGACAGTAGATGTAGTAAGCCTAATGTACCCTTACAGGTATACCGACCGTAGATGTAGTAAGTTTTATGTAACCGACCGTAGATGTAGTAAGCCTAATGTATGTACCCTTACAGTTATACCGACCGTAGATGTAGTAAGTCTAATGTACTCGTACAGGTAAACCGACCGTAGATGTAGTAAGTCTAATGTACCCTTACAGGTATACCAACCGTAGATGTAGTTAGTCTAATGTACCCTTACAGGTATACCGACAGTAGATGTAGTAAGCCTTATGTACCCTTACAGGTATACCGAACGTAGATGTAGTAAGCCTAATGTACCCTTACAGGTATACCGACAGTAGATGTAGTAAGCCTAATGTACCCTAACAGTTATACCGACCGTAGATGAAGTAAGTCTAATGTACCCTTACAGTTATACAGACCGTAGATGTAGTAAGCCCGATGTACCCTTACAGTTATCCCGACCGTAGATGTAGTCAGTCTATTGTACCCTTACAGGTATACCGACTGTAGATGTAGTAAGCCTAATGTACCCTAACAGTTATACCGACCGTAGATGAAGTAAGTCTAATGTACCTTTACAGATATACCGACCGTAGATGAAGTAAGTCTAATGTACCTTTACAGATATACCGACCGTAGATGAAGTAAGTCTAATGTACCCTTGCAGGTATACCGACCGTAGGTGTAGTAAGTCTAATGTGCCCTTACAGGTATACCGACCGTAGGTGTAGTAAGTCTAATGTACCCGTACAGGTAAACCGACCGTAGATGTAGAAAGTCTAATGTACCCCTACAGGTATACCGACCGTAGATGAAGTAAGTCTAATGTACCCTTGCAGGTATACCGACCGTAGATGTAGTAAGTCTAATGTACCCCTACTCTTACAGTTATAACTGTGTTAACTAGTAAACATAGTTGTCTACATTTCATTTCTCTTGATTTTATAAAAGTTCTGACAATAAGACAGTTATCTTCACATATTCCTTTTGATTCAGTGATAGCTCTAGCCATTTTAAATGTAGGGTCCGAAGTAAATTATTTAACTACTTAAATACACATAATAATTTGTGAGAAATCTGCCAAACAATTGGGGTCCCCTGAACAGTTTTGCTTATTTTGATACAAGAACAGGGCTGACGACCACAGTGATTATAACATTACTTATACATATGCAGTCTTTCCTATCCTTATGATTATAACTGTACATTCACCGCCAATTAGATGTAGTTGTCTTCATAAATTTCTCGTGATGGTTAAAGTATTTTGAGAACTTAAACAGTGGACATTAGTGGACTAAATTTTCATAAGAAATGACAAACAGATTCCTGAAGTTATCAGCATTTTGAAAATAAAACTTTCAATAGAAATAATATAGCACTGCCATTTTTGGCTGTACAGAGAACTGTGACCTGTATGTTGTCATTCACGGTTTGTATACAGGGATGCAGACGAGACTATTGCCTGGATTATGGAGAAGGACGTAATCCTGTCGTCTGATGACTACGGCCGAGACCTGGCTAGTGTGCAGGCCCTACAGCGTAAACACGAGGGTGTGGAGCGTGATCTGGCTGCCCTGGAGGAAAAGGTATGGCCATCTCTATCCTTGGCTCTCTAATCTGACTCCTCTTTCTTGGTAAACCTATGGCTGTTAATTGGTCTGTGTTTTCATTAATAAGTTCCGAGTCATAAGTGTTACTATCAAGCAGACATTTTTGATTACATATACAATCACTTGTATCCATTTTGTTGTTACAGGTGACCATGCTGGGTAATGAGTCTGAGAGACTGATGGACATCCACAAAGAACAGGCTGGACAGATCAGCAACAAACAGACGGAGATTGTCGACAACTGGGAAAGACTCAAGAACAAGGTAACCTCACACTATATACATCTGCACAATTACTTTCAACTTTCCCAAAATACAATTGTCCCCATATGAACTGTAGAAAATATGGTCTTGTGCTAATCATTCGCTGTTTATTGTGACAGGGTTCAGAGAGGAAAGCACGTCTGGACGATTCTTACTACCTTCATCGTTTCCTAGCGGACTTCCGTGACCTGATCTCCTGGGTACATGACATGAACGCTATTATCTCTGCTGATGACCTTGCTAAGGACGTAGCCGGGGCTGAGGCTCTTGTTGATCGCCATCATGAACACAAGGTAGGTCAAACGTGTGGAAGACATATGTTAACTAGCTTTATAGATATGTTTCATTTTGGTGAAGATATCAAATTGATATGATATCAACAAATGATTTTTTGTACTGGTTTAGTTATTGAGAGAAGAAGTTGTTGTGTTTGCCTGTACACCAGTAATGACTGAGGAATTGGATTATTCCTGTTTATTTTTCCAGGGTGAGATTGATGCTCGAGAGGACAGCTTCAAGACAACAGCGGAGGCTGGTCAGAGACTGGTCAATGCTGACCACTATGCTGCTGATGAAGTCAGAGATAAAGTAAGTACTGGACCCTATACTGACCATTGTATTCAGTATTATATCTGTGACTCGGTTCCATAAGTCTATCATAAAACGTTAATAACTGTAACTTTATGTAAAGTAAGTACTGGACGCTATACTGACCATTGTATTCAGTATTATATCTGTGACTCGGTTCCATAAGTCTATCATAAAACGTTAATAACTGTAACTTTATGTAAAGTAAGTACTGGACGCTATACTGACCATTGTATTCAGTATTATATCTGTGACTCGGTTCCATAAGTCTATCATAAAACGTTAATAACTGTAACTTTATGTAAAGTAAGTACTGGACGCTATACTGACCATTGTATTCAGTATTATATCTGTGACTCGGTTCCATAAGTCTATCATAAAACGTTAATAACTGTAACTTTATGTAAAGTAAGTACTGGACGCTATACTGACCATTGTATTCAGTATTATATCTGTGACTCGGTTCCATAAGTCTATCATAAAACGTTAATAACTGTAACTTTATGTAAAGTAAGTACTGGACGCTATACTGACCATTGTATTCAGTATTATATCTGTGACTCGGTTCCATAAGTCTATCATAAAACGTTAATAACTGTAACTTTATGTAAAGTAAGTACTGGACGCTATACTGACCATTGTATTCAGTATTATATCTGTGACTCGGTTCCATAAGTCTATCATAAAACGTTAATAACTGTAACTTTATGTAAAGTAAGTACTGGACGCTATACTGACCATTGTATTCAGTATTATATCTGTGACTCGGTTCCATAAGTCTATCATAAAACGTTAATAACTGTAACTTTATGTAAAGTAAGTACTGGACGCTATACTGACCATTGTATTCAGTATTATATCTGTGACTCGGTTCCATAAGTCTATCATAAAACGTTAATAACTGTAACTTTATGTAAAGTAAGTACTGGACGCTATACTGACCATTGTATTCAGTATTATATCTGTGACTCGGTTCCATAAGTCTATCATAAAACGTTAATAACTGTAACTTTATGTAAAGTAAGTACTGGACGCTATACTGACCATTGTATTCAGTATTATATCTGTGACTCGGTTCCATAAGTCTATCATAAAACGTTAATAACTGTAACTTTATGTAAAGTAAGTACTGGACGCTATACTGACCATTGTATTCAGTATTATATCTGTGACTCGGTTCCATAAGTCTATCATAAAACGTTAATAACTGTAACTTTATGTAAAGTAAGTACTGGACGCTATACTGACCATTGTATTCAGTATTATATCTGTGACTCGGTTCCATAAGTCTATCATAAAACGTTAATAACTGTAACTTTATGTAAAGTAAGTACTGGACGCTATACTGACCATTGTATTCAGTATTATATCTGTGACTCGGTTCCATAAGTCTATCATAAAACGTTAATAACTGTAACTTTATGTAAAGTAAGTACTGGACGCTATACTGACCATTGTATTCAGTATTATATCTGTGATTCGGTTCCATAAGTCTATCATAAAACGTTAATAACTGTAACTTTATGACAGATTTACAAGAAAGTTTGATGCTGATTTAACATTTTGAATTTTCTTGATGTTAAATTTTAAATATTCTGAAACGATATTTTATTTGACATTGAAAGTATCTTTTTTTTCTTTGTGCCAGCTTTCGGTGCTTTCTACAGAGAAGACTAACCTGCATGATCTGTGGGAGGAGCGTAAAATTCTGTATGAACAGTGTATGGACCTACAGCTCTTCTACCGTGACACCGAGCACGCAGACGCCTGGATGACAAAACAGGAGGTGAGATATTTGTTCTATGTACAGTAAAGAGCTAAANTTACTGTTCTACACTGTCATACTGTTTAAGCAGCTTACTGTTCTACACTGTCATACTGTTTAAGCAGCTTACTGTTCTACACTGTTGTACTGTTTAAGCAGCTTACTGTTCTACACTGTCAAGCTGTTGTCGCTTATATTGGTAACTAAATTTTATCACACATATTGATATCAATTGTTTTATTGAACATACCGTTCTTTTGAATTGAAATAAAAATATTACAGAATTTCTTCACATGAAAATCATGTTTGCTTGACTGTAAGGAACTAATTGTATTTTATATTCAACATTTAATTTGAATAACATGCCTATGCCTAATATTAAATGGTTCTGTTGTGATACACTGTACTGACATATTTGAAGCTTACACAAACACTTTGGTGCCTTGATTCAGTTGATGTTTGTACCTGTAACATGGTGATTGGTTTGTTTAAGGCTTTCCTGGCCAATGATGATCTCGGTGACTCACTAGACAGTGTCGAGGCATTCATCAAGAAACATGAAGATTTTGAGAAGTCCCTAGCAGCTCAGGAGGAAAAGATCAAGGTATTCACCACAACAGATTGTGCCTTGTCATGATCATCGTTTAGTTTAGCATCAGGTTACTGTTAATGTTGCAATGAGTAGAATCTATTGACATAGTAATCCAAGTTTAAGTGAAAAATCTAAATATTTGGTTCTATTTGACATACCATAGATGATTCTTTTTAAATCTTTCCCGAATACGATTTAAGAACTATAGATGATTAATTTCAGATCTTCCTCGATTAAAGAACTTTAGATGATTAATTTTAGATCTTCCTCAATTAAAGAACTATAGATGATTAATTATAGATCTTCCTCGATTAAAGAACTTAAGATGATTAATTTTAGATCTTCCTCAATTGAAGAACTAAAGATGATTAATTTTAGATTTTCCTCATTTAAAGAACTTTAGATGATTAATTTTAGATCTTTCTCAATTAAAGAACTATAGATGATTAATTTTAGATCTTCCTCGATTAATGAACTATAGATGATTAATTTCAGATCTTCCTCGATTAGAGAACTAGAGATGATTTATTTCAGATCTTCCTCGATTAAAGAACTTTAGATGATTAATTTTAGATCTTCCTCAATTAAAGAACTTTAGATGATTAATTTTAGATCTTCCTCAATTAAAGAACTATAGATGATTAATTTTAGATCTTCCTCGATTAATGAACTATAGATGATTAATTTCAGATCTTCCTCGATTAAAAAACTTGAGATGATTCATTTTAGATCTTCCTCGATTAGAGAACTATCGATGATTAATTTTAGATCTTTCTCAATTAAAGAACTTTAGATGATTAATTTTAGATCTTCCCTGATTAAAGAACTATAGATGATTAATTTTCAATCTCCCCTGATTAAAGAACTTTACATGATTAATTTTCAATCTTCCCTGATTAAAGATTTTTTTTAATGTAATGGAGATATCTGTTGTAGTTGCTGGATGACTTTGCGACCAAGCTGATCGAGAGCGAACACTATGCCCAAGACGATGTTGCTGCCAGACGAGACCAGGTACAGAACCTGTTATAGATCATAAACGTAACAATGTGACAGGGAGGCTGGATCCTGTCATAGGTCATAAACGTAACAATGTGACAGGGAGGCTGGAACCTGTCATAGGTCATAAATGTAACAATGTGACAGGGAGGCTGGATCCTGTTATAGGCAGTCATAATGCAGTCATAGGCTGATGAAACATGAATTATATATTGTAAAAAACGTTCATAAAATGTCATCTGAGATACTTAATTTAAAGGTATAAAAGCTTTAATGCATGAAAGGTTTGTTTTATTTGTAATTTGAATGTAATAAAGGTTGTGGCTACCATCTCGTATCTGTGCTGCTTATACATGTAGGTGTTGTTTGTTTAGCTACTGACGAGGCGCACAGCCCTGTACGAGGGATCGGCAAACCGACGCCAGATGTTGGAGGAGTCTTACAAACTTCAAACTTTCGAGAGAGACTGTGACGAGACCAAGGGCTGGATCAATGAGAAGCTTAAGACCGCCTCTGATGAGAGCTACCTGGTAATACACATACTAGGTTTATGTGAATATTTTGGCGATGGTACATTATGTGGAAAATTTTGAATGAAAATATATCCTGATGAATTAATTCAAAATGAATAAGTCACAAAAAGTTATTAAAAGTGGTACCTTCTCTTGTCTTTAGTTTGAATTAAAATTTGATAAGGGTCCATGGTATCTGTTCAAAAGCAATAATCAATTTCCCTGAATGAAGATGGCATCATTAGTGAAAATGCCTGTATCTGTGTTCATAATACCTGTATTATTAGTGATAATGCCTGTATCTGTGTTGATAATGCCTGTATCTGTGTTGATAATGCCTGTATCTGTTGTAATAATGCCTGTAATTGTTGTGATAATGCCTGTATCTGTGTTGATAATGCCTGTATCTGTGTTGATAATGCTGATGTTGTCTTTTCCAGGATCCCACCAATCTACAGACCAAAGTCCAGAAGCACCAGAACTTTGAGGCTGAACTGGACGCCAACAAGAATCGTATTGAAGCAATCCACCAGACCGGGGAACAGTTGATTGAGGAGGAGCACTACGCCTCGNCATCAGGTACTAGTAACGACAGAACATCAGGTACTAGTAACATCAACTTAAACATTGACCGCGACAGAGAACATCAGGTACTAGTAACAACAGAGAACATCAGGTACTAGTAACGACAGAACATCAGGTACTAGTAACAACAGAACATCAGGTACTAGTAACATCAATTTATACATTGACCGGGACAGAGAACATCAGGTACTAGTAACGCCAATTTATACATTGACCGTGACAGAGAAAATCAGGTACTAGTAACGACAGAGAACATCAGGAACTAGTAACATCAATTTATACATTGACCGGGACAGAGAACATCAGGTACTAGTAACGACAGCGAACATCAGGTACTAGTAACATCAATTTATACATTGACCGGGACAGAGAACATCAGGTACTAGTAACATCAACTTATACTTTGACCGCGACAGAGAACATCAGGTACTAATAACGACAGAGAACATCAGGTACTACTAACGACAGAGAACATCAGGTACTAGTCACGAGAGAACATCATGTACTAGTAACGACAGAACATCAGGTACAAGTAACGACAGAACATCAGGTACTAGTGACATCAACTTAAACATTGACCGCGACAGAGAACATCAGGTACTAATAACGACAGAGAACATCAGGTACTACTAACGACAGAGAACATCAGGTACTAGTCACGAGAGAACATCATGTACTAGTAACGACAGAACATCAGGTACAAGTAACGACAGAACATCAGGTACGAGTAACGACAGAGAACATCAGGTACTAGGAACGACAGAGAACATCAGGTACTAGTAATGACAGAGAACATCAGGTACTAGTAACATCAACTTATACTTTGACCGCGACAGAGAACATCAGGTACTAGTAACGACAAGAGAACATAAGGTACTAGTAACGACAGAACATCAGGTACAAGAAACGACAGAACATCAGGTACTAGTAACGTCAATTTATACATTGACCGTAACAGAGAACATCAGGTACTAGTAACGACAGAAGCACTACGCCTCGGAGAACATCAGGTACTAGTAACGTCAATTTATACATTGACCGTGACAGAGAAAATCAGGTACTAGTAACGACAGAGAACATAAGGTACTAGTAACATCAATTTATACATTGGCCGTGACAGAGAACATCAGGTACTAGTAACGCCAGAGAACACCAGGTACTAGTAACGACAGAGAACATCAGGTACTAGTAACATCAATTTATACATTGATCGTGACAGAGAACATCAGGTACTGGTAACGACAGAGAACATCAGGTACTAGTAACGACAGAACATCAGGTACTAGTAACGTCAATTAATACATTGGCCGTGACAGAGAACATCAGGTACTAGTAACATCAATTTATACATTGACCGGGACAGAGAACACCAGGAANGTACTAGTAACGACAGAACATCAGGTACTAGTAACATCAACTTAAACATTGACCGCGACAGAGAACATCAGGTACTAGTAACAACAGAGAACATCAGGTACTAGTAACGACAGAACATCAGGTACAAGAAACGACAGAACATCAGGTACTAGTAACGACAGAACATCAGGTACTAGTAACATCAATTAGTACATTGACCGTGACAGAGAACATCAGGTACTAGTAACAACAGAACATCAGGTACTAGTAACATCAATTAGTACATTGACCGTGACGGAGAACATCAGGTACTAGTAACAACAGAGAACAACAGGTACTAGTAACGACAGAACATCAGGTACTAGTAACGACAGAGAACATCAGGTACTAGTAACGACAGAGGACATCAGGTACTAGTAACATCAACTTATACATTGAGTTAAACTTGTTTTGTAAGGTTACTCATTATACTCAGATTTGTAGCAATATCTATACATTGTAATATACTCAGATTTGTAGCAATATCTATACATTGTAATATATGAAGAAGGTGTTCTGTGAATTGGTCAATTATCAATCAATCTTTGACATTGATTTTCAGAGAGCGCATTGATGAGATACAGAAGTTATGGGATAGTCTACTATCACAAACAGACAGGAAAGGTAAGATTTACTTTCACAAACTTGTAATGACATGCTCCAGTTAGTATTAAATCTGTATACAGTTCAGATTATAGTCGAATGTTGATTCTGTACAGTGAAAAAAACAGATGTATCATAGAATGTTGATACTATACAGGTAACAGTAGACTATATAAATGTTTATTCTGTACAAGTAACATCATAGATTGTTGATTATGTGCAGGTAACAGTAGACTATATAAAACGTTTATTCTGTACAAGTAACATCATAGAATGTTGATTATGTGCAGGTAACAGTAGACTATATAAAACGTTTATTGTGTACAAGTAACATCATAGATTGTTGATTATGTACAGGTAACAGTAGACTATATAAAACGTTTATTCTGTACAAGTAACATCATAGAATGTTGATACTATACAGGTAACAGTAGACTATATAAAACTTTTATTCTGTACAAGTAACATCATAGATTGTTGATTATGTACAGGTAACAGCAGACTATATAAAACGTTTATTCTGTACAAGTAACAGTAGACTATATAAAACGTTTATTCTGTACAAGTAACATCATAGAATGTTGATTATGTACAGGTAACAAGCTGAAGGAGGCCAGCCAACAGCAGCAGTTTATTAGGAGCACGGAGGACATTGAGACTTGGCTCTGTGAGATAGAGGGACAGCTGATGTCCGAGGACTTTGGCAAGGTGAGGCTAGGCCTGAAGTGTCGGGCTGTATTTACTAGGCCTGAAGTGTCGGGCTGTATTTACTAATTCTTGCATGGTTTTCTGTTACTGTTGTTTTGTTAAAAAGTGTTTTATTTTTTATTAGAATGTGTTCAAAAACATTTCTTTAAACTAGTTTTTTTTTTGCTCTACATGTAAGCTCACTTGATTTCCAGTGACTTGTCATATGTAATTGAACGAAATGTTTACAATTTGTTCTTGATTAATAATTGTGTGTAGTGTTTTCCTGGACAGGATTTATTAAAATATTTATTTTGATGCATCTAAAATGGAAAAACATAAAGGGGAGATAACTTATAATGACGATTCAAATATTGGTGGGTAATCATTGATTTATGATCAATTCGAACATGGGAGTTATATTTATGACGAGTTTTCATTGTTGTAAAAGTAGTGTGTTTTACATAGAAAATATTTCCATTCAAGCATGTAACTGATTTAATATTCTGTTTTACGTAACTTTTTGTTTGAGATTGAGCAGTGTTTGTCTCATTATGTGTGAACATTTGGTTTGAAACATTAAGTCAAGTTTATTAAAATGTTTTATGGTTTATCTTTTTTGGCTTCAGAAATTACTTCAAAACCAAAAAGGCTAGTGTTTAGAATGAAGTGATGTCCAAATTATTTAATGTTACTGAAACATGTTGATTTTAAAAGAGCGAAACACAAATTTTCATCATATTGATTAAAGTTTTGAATAGAAAAAAAAAAGGTACAAAGAAATTCACACGATTTTGAGTAAAGCCTGGAAGCATGTTTGACTTGAGTGTTTGTCAGGTTGATTTTGTTTTTTGTCCCTTTAGCCGCTCCATCGACATGTGAGTGCTGTCCAAGCCTTGGTTTTGTTTGCTAGCTTTAATGGCTTTATTACAACATTTTCGCTTGCTTTTTCTCCGTCACAACCTTTGTTGTTTTTCAGCTGCACTAGTTTGGTCTAGTACTGTATTGTCACCTAGGCAACATATGATGTAGCTGTGCCATGTGTGGCCACATCTAGTACCATATTGTCACCTGGGCAACATATGATGTCGTTGTGCCATGTGTGGCCACATGTTGTACCATACTTGTCACCTAGGCAACATATGATGTAGCTGTGCCATGTGCGGTCACATCTAGTACCATACTTGTCTCCTAGGCAACATATGATGTAGCTGTGCCATGTGTGGTCACATCTAGTACCATATTGTCACCTAGGCAACATATGATGTCGTTGTGCCATGTGTGGTCACATCTAGTACCATACTTGTCACCTAGGCAACATATGATGTCATTGTGCCATTTGTGGTCACATCTAGTACCATATTGTCACCTGGGCAACATATGATGTCATTGTGCCATGTGTGGTCACATCCAGTACCATATTGTCACCTAGGCAACATATGATGTCATTGTGCCATGTGCGGTCACATCTAGTACCATATTGTCACCTAGGCAACACATTGTTGTGCTGATTGTGCTTTGCAACAAGAGCAAGTAGATCTGACAAGCCAAGGTTTAAAGTTGGTTATAATTGTGTTGCTGGTTTAACTTATATTAAAATAATCGCCATTAGGAAAGATACCAGGATGTAGTGACTAGAGTAGAAAAATAGTTTGGTGAAGGTTTTCTGTAGCTGTTTGTACGCAGAGTTTATTGGTTTAAAACCAATTACTTAGTAGATTATATTCCTGATGCAATACTTTTGAAAAGTTATTAAAACTTCATGCTTAATTTTGCTGTGAAAAATTAACAGTTAAGGTAGTCATTTGTGATAGACACCAATAGCTGATGATTTTTGAAAAAATCGTACAAAATCTACCATGCTGATACATATGCAAGACCACACACTTGTGTTTTTGTAATGAATCAGAATGCACAAGCTTATTGCATGGACGAATATATTCACCAGTGAGTGGAGCGCACAAGTGAATATATGTACGTCCACGCAATAAACTCATGCTTTCTGATTCATTACAAAAACACAAGTGTGTGGTCTTGCTTTTATCACATTCCTTCCGTATTTGGTAGCGATCGATACAAAGATTATATAAACTTTGATATTTTTTGGCAAATACCGGGAACTTTTCAGTTTGCCATGACAAGGGGATTCCCATAAAAAGTTGTTCCAGCTAGTATGGTGGTACAAAATCTTGTATCGCACATAAACAGACAGAAAACATCAACAGAAAACTGTTGTATTACTATTGTAAGATTACATAGGTATGTGATAAAAGTATATATACTAGCACTGACGGAGCCCGCTACTGTCACTAGTTTTACCCGTCTGTGTCACTGTGTTCACCTCCCAGCCTTACACGGAGTTAGAACACCTTCAGTACAAGAATCTGGAGATTCCGGAGGAACAAATTGGTGCAGGGTTAAGTCTGCAGTCACTTCTATGCTGTGTCCTTGTCAATATATCTAGGGACTTATTTGCACACCTACAAATTACTTTTTGGTCTTTTGATGTCAACAACAGTGATGACGTATACTATTTCTGGGCCCAATATTGACGACAGTTAAGATTCCATTTCAGTCTGTGTTTGAGGTGAAATCTACTGTCAAGATCTCATGTATATAGGGAGCTTTAATGGTTTGACCAATTGGACTAGCATTGTTCGTTTATGAAATATGGACAGACCTGGTGTGATCCGATGATGATTTCTGGCAAGCTTTGACAAAGACTCTAAAACTAGCATTAACATTAACTGATTGGCAATGCTTTGTCCTTGAGAATATTTCATGTGAAAGTAGATGAACAGGTCTGTCCACATTAAACGAACAAGGTGCTGGTGAGAGGTATTTCTGTACACGTTGTGATCACACAGGTGTGTTATAACCACCAGAGCTTCCGTGTGTTGTGGGGGTGCTCTGCCTTCTATCTTGTCGGGCCACAAATGCCTGGATTATCTGCCTTGATCATGCAAAAGTCTTTTAACTTTTCAGATTCTCGCTTCGGCCATAGAAGTGAGCTGTAGAAAAAGGAATATGAACAAATTCTAAAAAAGAAAACATATTGATGACCAATTTAAATAAAAGGAAGATCTATTCAAGAAGTGCACTTGTTTGGCCAAAAGTGTTACCAAAGTGTTACCAAAATGTTGTGACCTGTCAGACCAGTGTTAATTACATGAATTGATGACTTGCTTGTCTGACAGGTTTTGTTGGGTTGAGGGGGAGAGCTCCAATCTAGGGGCCTCCAGAAACCACTATCAGTCTTGGGTGGCCGTTCTGTGTACTATCACCTGCTACAGGGAACTAAGTCACTGGGAAACACACTGTTCAGATTGATTATGTAACAGTGATAAACATTAACAACCAGTCAACTACTGTAATGATAGAAACAGGTTCTCATAAACATATAATTGTGTTCAATTTAGATAGTAGGAGTTAAACAAATTTAATGCTTTCTAAATGAATCTTGTCTTGATATCTTGTAATTCAATTTTTACCTGTAAGTATTTTTCAAATCAAAGTTAAAGTATATGTTAAATAAGAATTTCACAGTGTAATCTGCTTTCTGGAAGTATTATACATGTATTATTTATCAACCTGATGACTAGGAGTATTATAATTAACCCTGTAGACAATATGACATACAAGAACATATACAGACCTTTTGACTAGAAGTATTATAATTATCCCTGTAGACAATATGACATTCAAGAACGTATACAACCTTTTGACTAGAAGGATTATAATTAACCCTGTAGACAATATGACATACAAGAACATATACAACCTTTTGACGAGAAGTATTATAATTATCCCTGTAGACAATATGACATACAAGAAAAGGTCTTCCATGCCTTCAATGCTTGTTTTATTTGTGTAGGATTTGACCAGTGTTTTATTTGTGTAGGATTTGACCAGTGTCCAGAACCTACAGAAGAAGCACGCCCTGCTCGAGGCTGATGTTGCAGCTCACCAGGTAACTTTTTGACCTTGCCTGTTCAGTGTCAAGTGCAAACATACTAAGAAATTATAAAATAATAATGTCCATTTTTTCTAATTGATCAGATGAAGTTTTAGATAGTTTTATGTTACTAATTCACTGATATTGTTTGACCCAGGATCGTATTGATGGTATCGTAATCCAAGCTGATCAGTTTGTGGAGTCCGGACATTTCGATTCCGAGAATATCAAGGCCAAGCAGATACAAGTCGTACAGCGATATGAAACTCTTCAGGTAAGAACATCAGAACCCAGGTTAGTACATCAGAACCCAGGTAAGTACATCAGAACCCAGGTTAGTACATCAGAACCCAGGTAAGTACATCAGAACCCAGGTTAGTACATCAGAACCCAGGTTAGTACATCAGAACCCAGGTTAGTACATCAGAACCCAGGTAAGTACATCAGAACCCAGGTAAGTACATCAGAACCCAGGTAAGTACATCAGAACCCGGATATGTACATCAGAACCCAGGTAAGTACATCAGAACCCGGATATGTACATCAGAAGGACATTCTATTGAATTGTAATACAACAATTGTCAGACAGAATTAATTGCTGTTCTGTTAAAATGTCAGACAATTCAATGGTTAAGGCACATTTCTTAAATTTGAGAGCCACAAAATTTAACATTTATTGACTTGGCTGCCACAGTTTTACAGTAGAATACTATGAGTTTTGATAACCATTGCAATGAATATGTTCTCTGTCCGTAGGAACCAATGCATGATCGTAAACAGAAGCTGGAGGATGCTCTCCACCTCCAACAGTTTCTTCGGGATGTTGAGGATGAGGAAGACTGGATCAGGGAGAAAGAGCCAATTGCATCTTCTACCAACAGAGGTAGGTCAGGGGTCAATCTGTCAGTAGCCAATCACACCCTCTACCAACAGAGTTAGGTCGGGGGTCAATCTATGTCTGTAGCCAATCTCATCCTCTGCCAACAGAGTTATGTCAGGGGTCAATCTGTCAGTAGCCAATCACATCCTCTGCCAACAGAGTTAGGTCAGGGGTCCATCCTGCTCCTGATGGTTTTAGGTTTAGAGGTTTTGGATTAAACAATTGCTGTAAAATATATCACAGCTATATCACACCCTTACAGTTATATCACACCCTTACAGCTATATCACACCCTTACATCTATATCACACCTTTACAGCTATATCACACCCTTACAGCTATATCACAGTACCCATATAACTATTGATTGGTTTTTCCTGCCTCTATATTTAGTGCTGTTTGGCATTATACGCATTGAGATTTAGACAATTTTCTTTCCAACCTTCATTCCTTCGCCCCCAAATTAAAAAGGATGGGGACAGGAAAGCAATTTCATTTCCAAAAGTTTACTTATTGTAACAAGACACATCTTTTGGAACATAATAGGAAAAAAATAAGGAGAAAAGTGGAATTTTTAGGTCACCTGAGCTTTAGCTCAAGTGACCTATTGCTATCCGTTTTCGTCCGTCGTCCGTTAACATTTTACATTTCAAACTTAAAGTCAAGTTCTGCTGGGCCGATTGAACTGAAAGTTGGTAGGAAAGATCGCCTCATGGTCCTGACAAAGTGTTGTTATTTTTTTCGGGTCGATCAGAAATCCAATATGGCCACCACAACCGCCATTTTGAAAAACTATTTCAAACTTAAAGTAAAGTTCTACTTGGCCGATTGAACTGAAACTTTGTAGGAATGATCGAATCATGGTCCTGACAAAGTGTTGTTATTTTTCGGGTCGATCAGAAATCCAATATGGCCGCCCCGGCCGCCATTTTGAAAACCTATTTCAAACTTAAAGTCAAGTTCTGCTGGGCCGATTGAACTGAAAGTTGGTAGGAATGATTGACTCATGGTCCTGACAAAGTGTTGTTATTTTTTTCGGGTCGATCAGAAATCCAATATGGCCACCACAACCGCCATTTTGAAAAACTATTTCAAACTTAAAGTAAAGTTCTACTTGGCCGATTGAACTGAAACTTTGTAGGAATGATCGAATCATGGTCCTGACAAAGTGTTGTTATTTTTCGGGTCAATCAGAAATACAATTAGGCTGCCATGGCCGCTATTTTGTAAATACCTATTTCAAACTTAAAAACAAGTTCTAATAGGCCGATCTCACTTAAAATCGGTCCAAGAAAGATCAGCTCATGGTCCTGGCAAAGTTAAGTTAACATTATACTTAACTATTTTTTACTCAAATTGGTACATATTTCAACAACAAAAATAAATACTGTAGGACTCAGGTGACCGTTAAGGCCCATGGGCCTCTTGTATTCTTTCATACCAGTTTTTCTAAGCAACGGATTAAGGAAGGTTGCAATTTCCGAAATACTAGGGGGGAAAAAAGCTATATATTCATTGCATGGTAAACCATTTACCAAAATATATCACTGCATGTCATTGTACAGGTCGTGACTTGATTGGAGTACAGAACCTGCTCAAGAAACACCAGGCTCTGCAGGCTGAACTTGGAGGTCATGAACCCCGCATCAACAATGTTTGTCACCATGGTAACGAAATGATCAAGGATGGACATTTTGCTGCCAAGGAAATAAACCAAAAAATTGATGGTCTGCAGGACAAATGGCGGCAACTGAAGGTAGATATCCCTCCTACATCAGCATAACTTTGAACTTTTACTCTCTGAGTAATTGGAGAGAGAAGTTGCCCTACTTGTGTAATCTACTGTAAGACAATATTGTGACATTCTTTGCCATTAACAGTGTTATAACATAAGCTCCCCAATGTAAATTTTATGGCACAAGCTCCTTTCTGTGATATTTACCATGTTATGAAATAGGCTTCCCTACTGTGACCTTTTTCTCCTGTTTTGATAAGTTTTGTTGATGTCCCTACAGGACAAAGCATTCCAGAGGAAGCAGGACCTTGAGGACTCGCTCCAGGCCCAGCAGTACTTCGCCGACGCGAATGAGGCAGAGTCGTGGATGAGGGAGAAGGAGCCCCTTGCTGCCAACACAGACTACGGCAAAGATGAAGACACAGCTGAGGCACTTCTCAAGAAACATGAAGCCTTCATGGCGGATCTTGAGGCTTATCGGTCCGTAGTGGAGGGTCTACAGGAACAGTCTCAGGCTTGCAAGGTACTACTGATTGCATAGTGAACAAATCATAGGTCTGCAAGGTACTACTGATTACATAGTTCACAAGTCTCAGGTCTGCAAGGTACTACTGATTACATAGTGAACAAGTCTCAGGCTTGCAAGGTACACCTGATTACATAGTGAACAAGTCTCAGGTCTGCAAGGTACAACTGATTACATAGTTCACAAGTCTCAGGACTGCAAGGTACTACTGATTACAGAGTGAACAAGTCACAGGTCTGCAAAGTACTACTGATTACATAGTGAACAAGTCTCAGGTCTGCAAGGTACAACTGATTACATAGTGAGCAAGTCTCAGGTCTGCAAGGTACTACTGATTACATTGTTCACAAGTCTCAGGTCTGCAAGGTACAACTGATTACATAGTGAGCAAGTCTCAGGTCTGCAAGGTACTACTGATTACAGAGTGAACAAGTCACAGGTCTGTAAATTACTACTGATTACATGGTTCACATTGCAAATTACTACCAACTCTACAGTTAATTCCAGGCCTTTAGTTGGGATACAACCAGATGTTGTGTGTGTGTGTTAGTGAGGACAGAACCTGAATTGTGTGTGAGTTTATGTGTATAATGACTTTAACATTTGTGTCTTGTGTCTCCAGCAGCAGGAGGCCCCGGTGGTGGACGACCTCGGCACAGAGAAGGTGATGGCACTGTATGACTACACAGAGAAGTCACCTCGCGAAGTTTCCATGAAGAAGGGAGATGTTCTTACACTGCTCAACTGTGCCAATAAGGTAACACATATAGAGTGCTACTACACCCATATACTTTTGAATCCATATGATAGATTTAAACAGTTAACAGGAGACAGATAAACTTCCATTTCTAATGTTTACTAATTCTTTGTATGATATGTAACTTATGGAATGTTGTTTAATATTGAATAAAATCATTAGAAATTAAAGAAAATAACAAGTTTATACAGACTTTTTCTGTTCAGTTTGAAGTGATTTCCTGCCAGCATTCATTAACATGTTAACTGTAACAAAGTGTTTCATTACTAAGCTGTGTATTTATAACAGGACTGGTGGAAGGTCGAGGTCAATGATAGACAAGGCTTTGTTCCTGCTGCTTACGTCAAGAAGCTTGACCCAAGTCTGTCTGCAAGTCGTAACAACCTGATGGACGAGTTTACCATCTCTGTCAGACAGAACCAGATAGAGACACAGTAAGTCATAGCCATACTCTCATCAATATAGAAACAAAAATCTGCTTATGACACACAAAGTTTGAAGTAGCTTTTCTCAAATCTCTCTTCTGTATTTTACATTTAGCACAATTTGATGATAAATGTGGTTTTCAAATTTTCTTTCTTAATTTATACATAATTAATTTCACATGGAGGGTAAAAATGTGAAATCTTCAACAACATTGTGGTATTCAGGATGTGTCAAATTAGTCAAATCTGAAAGTAATTAAATGAAAGTTGTTTATGAACTTTGAAGCTTTATGAACTTTGGAAGCCTTTGAAATATAGTTAAGGATTGAATTTAGCAGTTTGCTGTGGTATCTGTAGTTCCAGTTATTTTGTCTTGTAGGATGAAACTGTAGGGACAAATCATCAATCATCTGAGGGACACTTGTAATTCAATGGATTCTGAAAAAATAAATCTTTTGAGTTTCACAATGTTACTTTGCAGGTATGCTAATCTGTTGGACCAAGGAAACCAGCGTCGTGAGAAACTCCAGGAATCGTGCCGTGCCTATCAACTGGTGCGTGAAGCCGGGGAGCTGGCATCCTGGATCACCGAGAAAGAAACCATGATTGTTGGTGATGAAGTCGGGGAAGATCTGGAACAAGTGGAAGAGATGCAGAAGAAGTTTGATGACTACCAGAAGGTTAGTAGATTCTCCTCTCTCCCACTGTATCTAATTGGGCACTGGCCATTTTATAATTGAACTTTGATCTCTACTGATGTATAATGGAATTTGTATCGTACTCATCTAAAGTGTTGAAATTAAGGTGTATGATTGTAATAAAGTGATAGCATTAATTTTGTGTTAAAGTTTTAATTGAATATAATATTGAAATTGTGTTGTGTATAGGATTTGAAGCAGAATGAAGCAAGACTCCAGGAGCTAAACACGATTGCTGACAAGCTAACAGCCATGGGGCGTACAGAGGCGGCCGAGAAGATCCGGGAGCAGATTGCTGTATGTCTGATGATATTTTGTGATACATTTTATGAATCCTGTAATACATTGACATAATTTTGCAAATACCAAAACTCCCTTTCAAAAGCAAACCTTGTGTTTTTTCCAATGGTGTTATCAAGGCTATAGATGTTATTTCATATTGATGTACATATTTTGAGTTTACAGTGTCAGCAAATGTATTGAGAATGTAGCAATTATATTAATATTTTAATATTGAATATATTTTGTACATGATAAAATATATGTATGTTGACAATACGTGGTTAGTAGATTACTTAACATGAGCGTTATGTACTTGTTACAGACCCTGAACAACAGGTGGGAGAACCTGCAGGCAGTGACGGCTGTCCGGGCCGAGACCCTGGGGAGTGCCCACGAGGTCCAGAGATACCACAGGTAAATAATCACACTGGGGAGGGCCCACGAGGTCCAGAGATACCACAGGTAAATAATCACACTGGGGAGGGCCCACGAGGTCCAGAGATACCACAGGTAAATAATCACACTGGGGAGGGCCCACGAGGTCCAGAGATACCACAGGTAAATAATCACACTGGGGAGTGCCCACAAGGTCCAGAGATACCACAGGTAAATAATCACACTGGGGAGGGCCCACAAGGTCCAGAGATACCACAGGTAAATAAGCACACTGGGGAGGGCCCACGAGGTCCAGAGATACCACAGGTAAATAATCACACTGGGGAGGGCCTCACAACATCTAGTTATACCAGAGATTAACCAACAACCACACGGAGGGAATAAATCGATATCATAATTGTGCTAGTATATTTGACATATTTGACTTTTCAGTTGTCTGGTAAGACATGTTTGACTTGTCAATTACAAGATAAGATGATTTTATTTGTGTGTTGCTAGGGATGTGGACGAGACTAAGGACTGGATCAATGAGAAGGACCAGGCCCTCAACAATGAGAACTATGGCCACGACCTGGCTAGTGTACAAGCTCTACAGCGAAAACATGATGCCCTAGAGCGTGACTTATCTGCTCTCGGAGAGAAGGTAGGTGTTCAGGATTCTTAAAAACTGTTCAATTAGTATTACCAGTATCTTCACTATTCATCTGAAAACATACAAGGTAGAGTTTATTAAAGATCTTTCTGGTGATGTTTATTTATAAACTGAAGTTTTTTTCAGTTTCATATTCTTAATATATATATATATATTGATTTACATGAAGATGAATGTTTGTTGTAAATGAGACTTAGACGAGAGTGCTAAACATCTGATGAGACTTATGTTTGCAAATAGGTACGAGACTTAGACGAGAGTGCTAAGCGGCTGATGAGACTTATGTTTGCAAATAGGTACGAGACTTAGACGAGAGTGCTAAGCGGCTGATGCAGACCCATCCTGACCAGGCAGAGCAGATCTATGAACATCAGACAGAAATCAACGAGCTGTGGAACACACTGACTGCTAAGGTATTCTGTCCTGATCTTTGTTTGGGGTTTAATATCCTGTGTAGGTATTCTGTCCTGGTCTTTGTTTGGAGTTTAATGTCCTGCTAAGCTATTCTGTCCTGATCTTTGTTTTGAGTTTAATGTCCTGCTAAGGTATTCTGTCCTGATGTTTGCAAATAGGTACGAGACTTAGACGAGAGTGCTAAGCGGCTGATGAGACTTATGTTTGCAAATAGGTACGCGACTTAGACGAGAGTGCTAAACATCTGATGAGACTTATGTTTGCAAATAGGTACGCGACTTAGACGAGAGTGCTAAACATCGGATGAGACTTATATTTGCAAATAGGTACGAGACTTAGACGAGAGTGCTAAACATCTGATGAGACTTATGTTTGCAAATAGGTAAGAGACTTAGACGAGAGTGCTAAGCGGCTGATGAGACTTATGTTTGCAAATAGGTACGCGACTTAGACGAGAGTGCTAAACATCTGATGAGACTTATGTTTGCAAATAGGTAAGAGACTTAGACGAGAGAGATAAGCGGCTGATGAGACTTATGTTTGCAAATAGGTAAGAGACTTAGACGAGAGAGATAAGCGGCTGATGAGACTTATGTTTGCAAATAGGTACGAGACTTAGACGGGAGTGCTAAGCGTCTGATGCAGACCCATCCTGACCAGGCAGAGCAGATCTATGAACATCAGCCAGAAATCAACGAGCTGTGGAACACACTGACTGCTATGGTATTCTGTCCTGATCTTTGTTTGGTTTTTACTGTCCTGTTAAGGTATTCTGTCCTGATGTTTGTTTGGGGTTTAATGTCCTGCTAAGGTATTTTGTCCTGATCTTTGTTTGGGGTTTAATGTTCTGCTAAGGTATTCTGTCCTGATCTTAGTTTGGAGGTTAATGTCCTGCTAAGGTAGTCTGTCCTGATCTTTGTTTGGAGTTTAATGTCCTGTTAAGGTATTCTCTCCTGATCTTTGTTTGGAGTTTAATGTCCAGCTAAGGTATTCTCTCCTGATCTTTGTTTGGGGTTTAATGTCCTGTTAAGGTAATCTGTCCTGATCTTTGTTTGGGGTTTAATGTCCTGCTAAGGTATTCTGTCCTGATCGTTGTTTGGGGTTTAATGTCCTGCTAAGGCAGTCTGTCCTGATCTTTGTTTGGGGTTTCATGTCCTGCTAAGGTATTCTGTCCTTATCTTTGTTTGGGGTTTAATGTCCTGTTAAGGTATTCTCTCCTGATCTTTGTTTGGAGTTTAATATCCTGTTAAGGTATTCTGTCCTGATCGTTGTTTGGGGTTTAATGTCCTGCTAAGGTATTTTGTCCTGATCTTTGTTTGGGGTTTAATGTCCTGCTAAGGTATTTTGTCCTGATCTTTGTTTGGGGTTTAATGTTCTGCTAAGGTATTCTGTCCTGATCTTAGTTTGGAGGTTAATGTCCTGCTAAGGTAGTCTGTCCTGATCTTTGTTTGGGGTTTCATGTCCTGCTAAGGTATTCTGTCCTGACCTTTGTTTGGGGTTTAATGTCCTGCTAAGGTAGCCTGTCCTGATCTTTGTTTGGAGTTTAATATCCTGTTAAGGTATTCTGTCCTGATGTTTGTTTGGGGTTTAATGTCCTGCTAAGGCAGTCTGTCCTGATCTTTGTTTGGGGGTTAATGTCCTGCTAAGGTATTCTGTCCTGATCGTTGTTTGGGGTTTAATGTCCTGCTAAGGTAGCCTGTCCTGATCTTTGTTTGGAGTTTAATGTCCTGCTAAGGTATTCTGTCCTTATCTTTGTTTGGGGTTTAATGTCCTGCTAAGGTATTTTGTCCTGATCTTTGTTTGGGGTTTAATATCCTGTGTAGGTATTCTGTCCTGGTCTTTGTTTGGAGTTTAATGTCCTGCTCAGGTATTCTGTCCTGATCTTTGTTTGGAGGTTAATGTCCTGCTAAGGTAGTCTGTCCTGATCTTTGTTTGGAGTTTAATGTCCTGTTAAGGTATTCTCTCCTGATCTTTGTTTGGAGTTTAATATCCTGTGTAGGTATTCTGTCCTGGTCTTTGTTTGGAGTTTAATGTCCTGTTAAGGTATTCTGTCCTGATGTTTGTTTGGGGTTTAATGTCCTGCTTAGTTATTCTGTCCTGATCTTTGTTTGGGGTGTAATGTCCTGTTAAGGTATTCTGTCCTGATCGTTGTTTGGGGTTTAATGTCCTGCTAAGGCAGTCTGTCCTGATCTTTGTTTGGGGTTTCATGTCCTGCTAAGGTATTCTGTCCTTATCTTTGTTTGGGGTTTAATGTCCTGTTAAGGTATTCTCTCCTGATCTTTGTTTGGGGTTTAATGTCCTGCTAAGGTAGCCTGTCCTGATCTTTGTTTGGAGTTTAATATCCTGTTAAGGTATTCTGTCCTGATGTTTGTTTGGGGTTTAATGTCCTGCTAAGGTAGTCTGTCCTGATCTTTGTTTGCAGTTTAATATCCTGTGTAGGTATTCTGTCCTGGTCTTTGTTTGGAGTTTAATGTCCTGTTAAGGTATTCTCTCCTGATCTTTGTTTGGGGTTTAATGTTCAGCTAAGGTATTCTGTCCTGATCTTTGTTTGGGTTTAATGTTCTGCTAAGCTATTCTGTCCTGATCTTTGTTTGGGTTTAATGTTCTGCTAAGCTATTCTGTCCTGATCTTTGTTTGGGTTTAAAGTCCTGCTAAGCTATTCTGTCCTGATCTTTGTTTGGGGTTTCATGTCCTGCTAAGGTATTCTGTCCTTATCTTTGTTTGGGGTTTAATGTCCTGCTAAGGTAGTCTGTCCTGATCTTTGTTTGGAGTTTAATATCCTGTGTAGGTATTCTGTCCTGATCTTTGTTTGGAGTTTAATGTCCTGCTAAGGTATTCTGTCCTGATCTTTGCTTGGAGTTTAATTTCCTGCTAAGGTATTCTGTCCTGATCTTTGTTTGGGGTTTAATGTCCTGCTAAGGTATTCTGTCCTGACCTTTGTTTGGGGTTTAATGTCCTGCTAAGGTATTCTGTCCTGATCTTTGTTTGGAGTTTAATGTCCTTGCAACAGCCAGGGTCGTATGAGGACGGGTTTCTAGGGAGACACAACAGCCAGGGTCGTATGAGGACAAGTGTCTAGGGAGACACAACAGCCAGGGTCGTATGAGGACGGGTGTCTAGGGAGACACAACAGCCAGGGTCGTATGAGGACGGGGGTCTAGGGAGACACAACAGCCAGGGTCGTATGAGGACGGGTTTCTAGGGAGACACAACAGCCAGGGTCGCATGAGGACGGGTGTCTAGGGAGACACAACAGCCAGGGTCGTATGAGGACAGGTGTCTAGGGAGACACAACAGCCAGGGTCGTATGAGGACGGCTGTTTAGGAAGACACAACAGCCAGGGTTGTATGAGGACGGGTGTCTAGGGAGACACAACAGCCAGGGTCGTATGAGGACGGGTGTCTAGGGAGACACAACAGCCAGGGTCGTATGAGGACGTGTTCAGTCCCGATAATAAAGAGTGTTTACCTACGTAGCTAAAACATAGTTGATGAACATTTTCCAGTTTATATAGTGTAACAAGCATTTTCTAAAAACAGAATCTTACTGTTCTTGTTTATGCTGAAAATACCTAATACAACAATGAAATACTGTTAATATCCATTCTCTGATGAAGTAGCTATTTGACATCCTCTAACGTGTACCTACTTGTAGGCTGATGCTAGAAAATCCAAGCTGCTGGACAGCTATGACCTCCAGAGATTCCTCAGCGACTACAGGTAATTTGTTAAAATCTGTGTCAGAGTTTTGTATTTTACTAAAATAGTGTGTCATTCATATATCAATAATAATGATACAGTGTTACTACTGCATGTTCTAGTGTCAAAGACTTTGCGTTAATCAATTCTATTCTGTATACAAAAAAAAGTCTTTCAATTGATTATGATGTACTGATGTTAATGTTGCTGTTCTTTAGAGACCTGACCTCCTGGATCAACAGTATGATGTCGTTGGTGTCGTCAGATGAGCTCGCCAAGGATGTGACTGGCGCCGAGGCCTTGCTGGAGCGTCATCAGGTAATTACTTACCCCATCATGTTATAGACGAAATACTCTTAATTATATCCATTCCATTTACAATTTCAAAATTAATAAATAAAATTCATTGTTTTACAGAAATGCATGCAGCTGTCTAGAATCTGTGCTAAGTAAACTAGCAGTTCAAGTTCAGAATCTGCCACAAGTTTTGATGATTCTCTCATTCAAGCACTATAGATGGTACTTGTAGTGTAAAACTACCCTCTGTAAGCTTAAACCTGCAGGCCCATTGTAGACTAGAGATAAAGCTTCAGCTTTCTGCTATACTTTCTGTCCTAAATACCCCAATCTATGTAAGCATCCCCTAGTGATCCATCAACTCAATAGATCTGTTACCTCCTGTACAGCCCAGTGATAGCAGCATTGACGAGATTTACCCAGTAAGTGCGTCTTAGTGGAGTGTATACTGGTGTTTTGTTGGTATTTCCCTGTCAATTCCAGATGTTCAGCTCAGTAACATAAACTGTACAGGGGGATAGCAGCATTGACGAGATTTACCCAGTAAGTGCTGGTTAGTGGAGTGTATACTGGTGTTTTTGTTGATATTTCCCTGTCAATTACAGATGTTCAGCTCAGTAACATAAGCTGTACAGGGTGATAGCAGCATTGACGAGATTTACCCAGTAAGTGCGCCTTAGTGGAGTGTATACTGGTGTTTTGTTGGTATTTCCCTGTCAATTCCAGATGTTCAGCTCAGTAACATAAACTGTACAGGGTGATAGCAGCAGTGACGAGATTTACCCAGTAAGTGCGCCTTAGTGGAGTGTATACTGGTGTTTTGTTGGTATTTCCCTGTCAATTCCAGATGTTCAGCTCAGTAACATAAACTGTACAGGGTGATAGCAGCAGTGACGAGATTTACCCAGTAAGTGCGCCTTAGTGGGCAGTATACTGGTGTTTTGTTGGTATTTCCCTGTCAATTCCAGATGTTCAGCTCAGTAACATAAACTGTACAGAGTGATAGCAGCATTGACGAGATTTACTCAGTAAGTGCGCCTTAGTGGGCTGTATACTGGTGTTTTGTTGGTAATCCCGTGTCATTTACAGATGTTCAGCTCAGAGATTGTCAGCCACTATGGTATCACACAGCTGCCCACGGAGGAGGAGATAGAGGAAGAGCTGGTACCTTATGTTTGTTCTACAGATCGCACGCCGCCCACCTAGCTACCATAGGCCGCCTTGTCGCATCTTGATTGTACACTGTAAAGCTTCTCATTCCTGGGTTTTAATCTTTTTTCTTGAATCAGAGATTTTATGAGTTTTTCCTGCAAATGCTTCTATTTATAAAAGTAATCTGATTTCTATGGATTTATAAAATGACATGAACTATTCATAACCCAGTAAGGTTTGAAGCTCTACAGTAAATGTTTATGTTGCTCTTTCATTACTGATTACATATTGTATACCGAAGCTCCATCATGCTTTTCAAGGAAAAAATAATATATTAAAACTACTTCATGCTTTTCCAAGAGAAAACATGTGGGAGAGGCATTGTTGTCAGCTCTATATAAAATGAGTTGTTCTTATGAATACTATGGATGTGCTTTAAGCATACCTATATAAATAATTCTAACATTGTACAATGGAATGAAAGAGCTGCATGGAAAATGAATGACTTCTTATATATAAGAGAAACATTTGCCGATTATTCTACTCGGCATTGGTTTCTATATATGAATCTCATCCTTGTATTTACTGTAATTAAGATTGTAGTACAATGATCGTCTCCACCTAGAGCTGTCAGAAGTGTAAAAACTTCACACATCAAGTGAACCAAGTAAAACAATACAGTTGTATTCACTGGATGCTGTTGATAAGTGCGAGTTGTATAATGGTCAGATATTAACATGCTGATAACCACTGCAGTCCCGTGACTAGGATGAGTGTTCCAAGAGTCATAACTATTGTTAATGCATGATGACTGGCTACACTAACGACCGCTGTACCGTGACTAGGACGTGTTTGTGATGACTGGCTACACTAACGACCGCTGTACTGTGACTAGGACAAGTGTGTGATGACTTGCTACACTACTGCAGTCCCGTGACTAGGATGAGTGTTCCAAGAGTCACAACTATTGTTAATGCATGATGACTGGCTAGACTAACGACCGCTGTACCGTGACTAGGACGTGTTTGGGATGACTGGATACACTAACGACCACTGTACTGTGACTAGGACAAGGGTGTGATGACTGGCTACACTAACGACTACTGTACCGTGACTAGGACAAGTTTGTGATGACTGGCTACACTAACGACCATGGTACTGTGACTAGGACAAGCGTGTGATGACTTGCTACACTAATGACCGCTGTTCCATTACTAGGACGAGTGTGTGATGACTGGCTACGCTAACGACCGCTGTACCGTGACTAGGACGTGTTTGTGAGGACTGGATACACTAACGACCACTGTACTGGGACTAGGACGTGTTTGTGATGACTGGCTACACTAACGACCATGGTACTGTGACTAGGACACGTGTGTGATGACTTGCTACACTAATGACCGCTGTTCCATTACTAGGACGAGTGTGTGATGACTGGCTACACTAAATGAGTGTTCCAAGAGTCATAACTATTGTTAATGCATGACGACTGGCTACACTAACGACCGCTGTACTGTCACTAGGACGAGTGTGTGATGACTGGCTACGCTAACGACCGCTGTACCGTGACTAGGACGTGTTTGGGATGACTGGCTACACTAACGACCACTGTACCGCGACTAGGGCGAGTGTATGATGACTGGCTACACTAACGACCACTGTACTGTGACTAGGACAAGCGTGTGATGACTGGCTACACTAACGACCGCTGTACCGCGACTAGGACAAGTGTGTGATGACAGGCTACACTAACGACCACTGTACCGTGACTAGGACGTGTTTGGGATGACTGGCTACACTAACGACCACTGCACTGTGACTAGGACAAGTGTGTGATGACTTGCTACACTACTGCAGTCCCGTGACTAGGATGAGTGTTCCAAGAGTCATAACTATTGTTAATGCATGACGACTGGCTACACTAACGACCGCTGTACCAGGACTAGGACAAGTGTGTGATGACTGGCTCCACTAACGACCACTGTACCGTGACTAGGACGAGTTTGTGATGACTGGCTACACTAACAACCACTGTATCATGACAAGGACAAGTGTCTAACGACCACTGTACTGTGACTAGGACGTGTTTGTGATGACTGGCTACACTAACGACCATGGTACTGTGACTAGGACAAGTCTGTGATGACTTGCTACACTAATGACCGCTGTACCATTACTAGGACGAGTGTGTGATGACTGGCTACGCTAACGACCGCTGTACCGTGACTAGGACGTGTTTGGGATGACTGGATACACTAACGACCACTGCACTGTGACTAGGACAAGTGTGTGATGACTGGCTACACTAACGACCATGGTACTGTGACTAGGACAAGTGTGTGATGACTTGCTACACTAATGACCGCTGTACCATTACTAGGACGAGTGTGTGATGACTGGCTACACTAACGACCACTGTAATGTGACTAGGACGCGTGTGTGATGACTGGCTACACTAACGACCGCTGTACCGTGACTAGGACGAGTGTGTGATGACTGGCTACACTAACGACCGCTGTACCATGACAAGGACGTGTTTGTGATGACTGGCTACACTAACAACCATGGTACTGTGACTAGGACAAGTGTGTGATGACTGGATACACTAACGACCACTGTACTGTGACTAGGACAAGTGTGTGATGACTGGCTACACTAATGACCGCTGTACCATGACTAGGACGAGTGTGTGATGACTGGCTACACTAACGACCACTGTACTGTGACTAGGACGAGTGTGTGATGACTGGCTACACTAACGACCACTGTACTGTGACTAGGACGAGTGTGTGATGACTGGCTACACTAACGACCACTGTACCGTGACTAGGACAAGTGTGTGATGACTGGCTACACTAACGACCACTGTACCGTGACTAGGACAAGTGTGTGATGACTGGCTACACTAACGACCACTGTATCGTGACAAGGACAAGTGTGTGATGACTGGCTACACTAACGACCACTGTACCTTGACTAGGACAAGTGTGTGATGACTGGCTACACTAACAACCACTGTATCATGACAAGGACAAGTGTGTGATGACTGGCTACACTAACGACCGCTGTACCGTGACTAGGACGTGTTTGTGATGACTGGCTACACTAACGACCATGGTACTGTGACTAGGACAAGTGTGTGATGACTGGCTACACTTACAACCACTGTACTGTGACTAGGACAAGTGTGTGATGACTGGTTACACTTACAACCACTGTACTGTGACTAGGACAAGTGTGTGATGACTGGCTACACTAACGACCACTGTACCGTGACTAGGACAAGTGTGTGATGACTGGCTACACTAACGACCACTGTACCGTGACTAGGACAAGTGTGTGATGACTGGCTACACTAACGACCACTGTACCGATACTACGACGAGTGTATGATGACTGGCTACACTAACGACCGCTGTACAGTGACTAGGACAAGTGTGTGACGACTGGCTACACTAACAACCACCGTACCGTGACTAGGACGAGTGTGTGATGACTGGCTACACTAACGACCACTGTACCGTGACTAGGACAAGTGTGTGTTGACTGGATACACTAACCCCATGCATGGAGTAAATACAGCCTAACTTCAAACTAATTAGCTGAGAGAATGGTGTTTTCCATCACAGTTTAGGTATTTAGTATTAACAGTGTGATACAGCTTGTTGTGTGGTGTTATCCCCGTACTATAAGAATGGACATTTATCATGGGGGACGATAGTTATGTTTACACCTATTTCTTATGAGGCAAGCATGCTTGTAATTATAAGATCAATTGTAAACATTAATTGACTCGACTTGTTTCCCTCAGTTAAGTTCTCTTTGAGTTAGAGCATGTCATAGGAAGACAATTTTAATAGCATGGCTGTAACACATGACCAAACTGATTTGGGTGCCGATTGAAACTGAGGCCCAGGGACGGAGCCTCCCTTTGTCTAACCCTCAATACCCTGGCAGGCTAAGGCCATGAAAAGTATTCAAAAATTAAATAGAGAGTTCCTTGAGTGTTCAAAAGAATTATACTTGTGAAAGAAACAATCATTTTTGCCCTTGATACTTTGTGTTTCAATGTTTCAGACAAATAACCAATGTTTTATTTTTAGCATGCCCAACAACTGTCTGGAATGTACAGTAGACTAACCTTATTTGCTCAGATTTTTCAGAAGACATTTTATTTTTCCACCTATTTTAATTTGACAAGTGGTACTTGTTCCAGTTTGTAGTATTATATTTAACTAGGTGTACATAAATGTACACGAGATAATTCACTCTGGATATCTATATTCCGCGCACATTCTGTTACATAACTTGCTATGTTGTAATAGCTGTCATTGTCTAAGGAACTTACTCCCATACTCTTATTAATTATTCATAATGCAGGAAATCAACAGATATTTTGACCTACATAATAGTATTGGGTGTGAATGTTGACTTTTTGCCATTATTGTGTTTGGATACAGAATTATCTATATTCAACATGTTTACAGGAACACCGCACAGAGATAGATGCCCGTTCTGGGACTTTCCAGGCATTTGAGTTGTTTGGCCGGAACCTTCTTCACAGTGAGCACTACGCCAGTGACGATGTGAATGGGAAACTGGAGGAGCTGGCCAAGGCTCGCGAGGAACTGGAACAGTAAGTTGTACTAGGGTTACGTGTCATTCTATAAATGTGCACAAGTACAATGTTAAGACTTGTGTAATGTTCCTACTCATTGCTCTTGATTGATTTAACAATGCATTACGTATAAAGTTGAGTTGGTGTAATATGTCCTGTGTTACAGAGCATGGATCGCACGGCGTATGAAGCTAGACCAGTGCCTTGAGCTTCAACTGTTTTATCGGGACTGTGAGCAGGCGGAGACCTGGATGCACTCCCGTGAGGCTTTCCTGTCAGGTGACGCTGTTGATGGCGACAATGTGGAAACGCTCATTAAGAAACATGAGGACTTTGACAGGGCCATCAGTAGCCAGGTATATATCTTCTCTGGCATTCCAGTTAGGCCATCAGTAGCCAGGTATATATCTTCTCTGGCATTCCAGTTAGGCCATCAGTAGCCAGGTATATATCTTCTCTGGCATTCCAGGTCACATTCCAGTTTCCATTCCAGTTCCCAAAATAAGTTGTGTGGACTTAGAACTGGTCAGTCTTTGTCATGTATTTATACACATCACAAATATCCTAAGGAGTATATGATCATTGTCATGTATTTATACACATCACAAACAGATGTTTTCCCCTACAGTTTAGGAAGTTAGATTGATTCAGGGTAGGTTTGATCCATGTTTAGCTTCCCTTTCTCTATGGTTCTACAGTTTAGGAAGTTAGATTGATTCAGGGTAGGTTTGATCCATGTTTAGCTTCCTTTTCTCTATGTTTCCCCCTACAGTTTAGGAAGTTATATTGATTCAGGGTTGGTTTGATCCATGTTTAGCTTCCCATTTCCTATGTTTTCCTGATTGCCTGTGTTTACAGCAAGAGAAGATCCAGGCACTACAATTGTTTGCAGACCAGTTGATCGGTGGAGAGCACTACGACAGCAGTGCCATCGCTGACAAACGTGACCAAGTTTTGGACCGATGGACCAATCTCAAGGATGCCCTCATTGATAACCGCTCCAAGCTGGGCGAGGCACAGACCCTACAGCAGTTTTCACGTGATGCTGACGAGATGGAGAACTGGCTCCAGGAGAAACTCCAGATTGCCATGGATGAGTCTTACAAAGACCCAACCAATATACAGGTAAATAGGATCCTCGGGGAAATAGTAGCCTACCAATATACAGGTAAATAGGATCCTCGGGGAAATAGTAGCCTACCAATATACAGGGAAATAGTAGCCTACCAATATACAGGTAAATAGGATCCTCGGGGAAATAGAAGCCTACCAATATACAGGTAAATAGGATCCTCCGGGAAATAGCCTACCAATATACAGGTAAATAGGATCCCCAGGGAAATAGTAGCCTACCAATATACAGGTAAATAGGATCCTCGGGGAAATAGTAGCCTACTAATATACAGGTAAATAAGATCCTCAGGGAAATAGTAGCCTACCAATATACAGGTAAATATGATCCCCAGGGAAATAGTAGCCTACCATTATATAGCTAAGGTTTTAAATCATTGGTTGATTGATAACGTTTCAATAGGGATTAAATGGGTAACCCACTAGTATTCAGGGAAAACAAAAGCAAAGAACTCGGAAGGAAAAATAACGATCTCTGACAGATATTCTCCATTTATCCCTGTAATCTCTGACAGATATTCTCCATTTATCCCTGTAATCTCTGACAGATATTCTCCATTTATCCCTGTAATCTCTGACAGATATTCTCCATTTATCCCTGTAATCTCTGACAGATATTCTCCATTTATCCCTGTAATCTCTGACAGATATTCTCCATTTATCCCTGTAATCTCTGACAGATATTCTCCATTTATCCCTGTAATCTCTGACAGATATTCTCCATTTATCCCTGTAATCTCTGACAGATATTCTCCATTTATCCCTGTAATCTCTGACAGATATTCTCCATTTATCCCTGTAATCTCTGACAGATATTCTCCATTTATCCCTGTAATCTCTGACAGATATTCTCCATTTATCCCTGTAATCTCTGACAGATATTCTCCATTTATCCCTGTAATCTCTGACAGATATTCTCCATTTATCCCTGTAATCTCTGACAGATATTCTCCATTTATCCCTGTAATCTCTGACAGATATTCTCCATTTATCCCTGTAATCTCTGACAGATATTCTCCATTTATCCCTGTAATCTCTGACAGATATTCTCCATTTATCCCTGTAATCTCTGACAGATATTCTCCATTTATCCCTGTAATCTCTGACAGATATTCTCCATTTATCCCTGTAATCTCTGACAGATATTCTCCATTTATCCCTGTAATCTCTGACAGATATTCTCCATTTATCCCTGTAATCTCTGACAGATATTCTCCATTTATCCCTGTAATCTCTGACAGATATTCTCCATTTATCCCTGTAATCTCTGACAGATATTCTCCATTTATCCCTGTAATCTCTGACAGATATTCTCCATTTATCCCTGTAATCTCTGACAGATATTCTCCATTTATCCCTGTAATCTCTGACAGATATTCTCCATTTATCCCTGTAATCTCTGACAGATATTCTCCATTTATCCCTGTAATCTCTGACAGATATTCTCCATTTATCCCTGTAATCTCTGACAGATATTCTCCATTTATCCCTGTAATCTCTGACAGATATTCTCCATTTATCCCTGTAATCTCTGACAGATATTCTCCATTTATCCCTGTAATCTCTGACAGATATTCTCCATTTATCCCTGTAATCTCTGACAGATATTCTCCATTTATCCCTGTAATCTCTGACAGATATTCTCCATTTATCCCTGTAATCTCTGACAGATATTCTCCATTTATCCCTGTAATCTCTGACAGATATTCTCCATTTATCCATGTAATCTCTGACAGATATTCTCCATTTATCCATGTGATCTCTGACAGATATTCTCCATTTATCCATGTAATCTCTAACAGATATTCTCCATTCAACCCTGTAATCTCTGACAGATATTCTCCATTTATCCATGTGATCTCTGATCCTGAAAAGGAAACTTTAGGTCCATGAACTTGTAGGAGGACTGTGATTCTCAATCCTGAAGGGGACTTTAGGTCCAGAAACCGGGTATCCTAAACCTGAAGGGTAGATCACTAGACGGGCGATCCGTGAATTTGTAGGAGGACTGTGATTCTCAATCCTGGTGGGGACTTTAGGTCCAGAAACCTGGTATCCTTTAACCTGAAGGGTAGATCACTAGACGGGCAATCCGTGAATTTGTAGGCAGAATTAGGATCCATTCTATAGTGATTTTATTTTGATGATGTTGCAGAGTAAACACCAGAAGCACCAGGCATTTGAAGCAGAGTTAGCAGCCAACGCTGACCGACTACAAGCCCTACTGGGCACTGGTCAAGGTAATACCTAGCAACAGTAATATTTAAGCCTTCAGCTAGCTGTGTATTTGTAACTTGTAATTGACAGTGTATCTATAACCTGTAAAAGATACAGTAAACAGATCTTAGAAAGTAATTGTCCTGGGTAATAAAAAACATGAAGGACATTTCATTTCATGTACATATTTCTTTTTATTATTAATCAAAACTATTTTTTAACAATTTTTTGAAATAGTGTGAGAATTGATTGTGGTTGGTCTAACTCTGCTGCTGTGTATTGTAGCTTTGATTGACCAGAAGCAGTGTGCTGGGTCCGAGGATGCTGTCCAGGCCAGACTTGAGAGTCTAGCCTCACAGTGGGAGACACTGGTGGCCAAGTCTGCTGAGAAGAGTGACAAGCTGAAGGAGGCAAATCGCCAACAGACCTACAACGCCGGGGTCAAGGACATGGAGTTCTGGCTTGGAGAGGTAAGAATTATGAGGATAGTAAATAGGTAAAATCATAGTTAACTCATAACTTGACATTTTAACTCAGATTAAATGCAAAATACACATTATACCTAAAAGATGAAAAATATTAATATTAATATCGTTGTCTTGACAAGAGGAGCAACTGTTGGTGTGTTTTATGTGATGTTATGTTGTGTAGTATGTAGATCGAGAAACCAGTGTTGAAATGCATTTGTAATTACAGGTAGAACAGATGCTTGGCTCAGAAGAGTATGGAAAGGACTTGTCCTCTGTACAGAACTTGTTGAAGAAACACCAGCTACTAGAGGCTGATATTGCTGCTCATGAGGTACGGTCAGTCTTTAATGTCCCGTTCACTAAGTACGGTCAGTCTGTAATGTCCCGTTCACTAAGTACGGTCAGTCTGTAATGTCCGTTCACTAAGTACGGTCAGTCTGTAATGTCTTGTTCACTAAGTACGGTCAGTCTTTAATGTCCCGTTTACTAAGTACGGTCAGTCTGTAATGACCCGTTCACTAAGTATGGTCAGTCTGTAATGTCCCATTCACTAAGTACGGTCAGTCTTTAATGTCCCGTTCACTAAGTACGGTCAGTCTGTAATGACCTGTTCACTAGGTACGGTCAGTCTGTAATGTCCCGTTCACTAAGTACGGTCAGTCTTTAATGTCCCGTTCACTAAGTACGGTCAGTCTTTAATGTCCCGTTTACTAAGTACGGTCATTCTGTAATGACCCGTTCACTAAGTATGGTCAGTCTGTAATGTCCCGTTCACTAAGTACGGTCAGTCTTTAATGTCCCGTTCACTAAGTATGGTCAGTCTGTAATGTCCCGTTCTCTAAGTACGGTCAGTCTGTAATATCCCGTTCACTAAGTACGGTCACTAAGTACGGTCAGTCTTTAATGTCCCCTTCACTAAGTACGGTCAGTCTGTAATGACCCGTTCACTAAGAATGGTCAGTCTGTAATGTCCCGTTCACTAAGTACGGTCAGTCTGTAATGTCCTGTTCACTAGGAACAGTCAGTCAGTTATGTTCTGCTTCTGAGGTTCTGTCCGTCATTAATGTCCGGTTAACAAGGCCAGCGTAGCAAAGTTTTCATGGAAGGGAAGAATTGCTTTGGTAAGAATGGTTACTGTAGATTAAGGGGCTGCTGAAGTTTGAGGGGCTGTAGCTTTAGCCACTGTTGTCCGAGGGGAAATGTGTGTTAAAGAGGTTACTCTAGTAAGAGGGGCAATTTGAGATTTAAAGGAATGTACAGCTTTTCGTTGAGGATTTCAAAATATTTTATGCAAGTAGACCTATGTAGAAATTGCATTATTTCGGATTATTTGACAAATATTAAGTGTGTGCAGGTCTGCAGGTATAGAGAATAGTGAGTAACTGATGACTTTGTGATGTTTTTAGGTATAGAGAATAGTGAGTAACTTATGACTTTGTGATGTTTTAGGTATAGAGAATAGTGAGGAACTGATGACATTGTGATGTGTTTAGGTATAGAGAACAGAGAGTAACTGATGACTTTGTGATGTTTTTAGGTATAGCGAATAGTGAGTAACTGATGACTTTGTGATGTTTTTAGGGATAGAGAATAGTGAGTAACTGATGACTTTGTGATGCTTTTAGGTATAGAGAATAGTGAGTAACTTATGACTTTGTGATGTTTTAGGTATAGAGAATAGTGAGTAACTGATGACATTGTGATGTGTTTAGGTATAGAGAACAGTGAGTAACTGATGACTTTGTGATGTTTTTCAGGACCGTATCAAGGACCTCAACACACAGGCCGACCAATTCTGTGATGCAGGAGTGTGGGACGCAGAGAGCATTGAGACCAGGAAGAGGACTATTAACGAACGTTACGACAAGTAAGTGTCCTCACAGGGACTGATAAACAAGGGTCATTTTGTTAAATGTTTCATCCACTTTGGGATTAAAATTTCAGTTTAGTGTTGTGGTGTTAAAGGGGTTGTTTCTGAAAAGACTGACTGATTGTTTTCTCTACAGAATCAAGGAGTTGGCGATTGTGAGGAGGACACGTCTAAACGAGGCCAACACCATGCACCAGTTCCTGCGTGACATTGATGATGAAGAAGCTTGGATCAAGTAAGTTCCTCAGTCCTCAAGTTCTTCTCCCTTACCTGTACCACCAGAGGGCCTGTATGTTTGTACTCCAGCAGTAATTTATTATTTACCTGTTAGTCATATGACCGATAGCTTATACAGTAATTTATTATTTACCTGTTAGTCATATGACCGATAGCTTATACAGTAATTACGTTAATACCCCTTGTTCTAGGATAGAAAGCGATTCAGTAATTAATTTAAAACCTTAAATTCTATGATAAATAAATTACTTTAGAAAACATGTCCACATTTAACTGATATTGAGGATGTGTTGGTGTGATATAAGACTTGTGTATTGACAGGGAGAAGAAACTGCTGGTCGGCTCGGATGACTATGGTCGTGATCTGACCAGTGTACAGAATCTTCGCAAGAAACACAAGCGTCTGGACGCAGAACTGGCCACCCACGAGCCTGCCATACAGGTAAGCTACTATCTGCATGTTGTCAAGGGCATGGAAAGTCCTTTCATTTGAGGTAATCATCTGGAAATTTTAGCAACTGCTTGCTTAAAAGAATGTTTCAGCGGTGCAAGCTATTTGTAGATGACATAAATCAATATCTGTATCAACATTATAGAACTGTAACTGTTTGTGTAAACAGGCTGTACAAGACACTGGAGCCAAGCTGATCGAGGAGTCAGACATCAACACAGCTGACATTAAGGACCGTCTCCAGCAGCTCCAGGAAAGCTGGGAGGAGCTCAAGTCCATGGCAGCCAACCGTGGCCAGAAGTTAGAGGAGTCTTACGCCTTCCAGCAATTCTCTGCCAGCGTTGAGGAGGAGGAGGCGTGGATCGCTGAAAAACAACATCTTCTGTCCGGGGGTGACCACGGTGATACCATGGCAACTGTCCAGGTACATATGTCCCTCAGTTCAGTAAAGGCAACTAGGAGCTCATCAACAAAATGTATTGTTTCTTGTTTAACGATGACTAGTGTAATGTAGTGATTATATTATGTCAATATCTAAGCTATATTTGTAGTCGTCACTTTTCGGTAATATTTTGATTGGACACTTACAGAGACTAGGTTGAATTTGTATGTGTATAGTTACTTGTTCAAAGATGATTAGTGTAAGTTCTGTGTAGGATACTTGTTAAACTATGATATACCCTCATTTGTGATCAAATGTTTTCTATTGACCTGACATGTTGTTCACATTTTACAATTATTCCACAGGGTCTTTTGAAAAAGCATGAAGTATTTGAGACCGATTTCCAGATCCATAAGGAACGATGTGAGGAGATCAAAAATGAGGGAGAGAAACGCATCAAAGAGGTTTGTGTACAGTAAACTTAAATAATCTACAATATCTTAATTTGAGTCCATTATCACTTTCAAATGATTCTTACTGTTTTTGATTAATATTGAGGTATGCTGTAATGTGCATGCATTATAAGATAATATGTAGTGTTTCAGGGTTGTAAGTGAGCGTTTCTATTGTCAGGGTAACCACAATGCTGACAGCATTGGTCAGAGAAACAGAGGCCTACAGGAGAGGCTGGATGCCCTGGATGCAGCCGCAGCCAGACGAAAGGCCGGGCTCATTGACAACTCAGCCTTCCTACAGTTTATGTGGAAGACCGACGTTGTAGAGAGCTGGATAGCTGACAAGGAGACACAGGTTCGCTCAGACGATTATGGACGCGATCTGTCTTCTGTGCAGACCCTCCTCACAAAACAGGTAATGTCTTCTGTTTGTTCTGCTATAGTCCCACTGCTATCAGTGTATAGACCAGTATCACACTTGTCAGTGTGATTACAACATAAACTTGTACTGATGGGGACTGATACACTTCAGCCCCTCATAGTTATACTCATATGAGGCTCCATATTTCATACTGCTGATTTTATCTTACAGGAAACTTTCGATGCTGGTCTTCAAGCCTTTGAAAAGGAAGGCATTCAGACAATTTCTGCCCTGAAGGATCAGCTGATTGCAGCCCAGCATGCACAGACAGCTGCCATAGAGAAACGTTACAATGACGTCATAGACAGGTGAGATATGCTGGTAGTTGTCTTTTTAAGCAATATTAATGACGTCACCAACCAGGTGAGGCATGCTGCTGCTTCATAAGGCTTTTCAGGGCAGAAATTTACAGAATGAAATTAGATATTTCTATTTGTATATACATGATAAATGTTACTTAACCAATGTATGGAACTAGGTATTTGATTATTTTGAAACATTAGCTGTTTCATGTACAGCTTGATATGAAATCTGTAGAAGTTTAAAATATGTTTTTCATGTTGTAGGTGGCAGAAGCTTCTCAATGACTCAGATGCACGTAAACAGCGTCTCTTAAAACTCCAGGAGCAGTACCGGCAAATAGAGGACCTGTACCTCACTTTCGCAAAGAAGGCTTCAGCCTTCAACAGCTGGTTTGAAAATGCAGAGGAAGATCTGACTGACCCTGTCCGATGTAACTCTGTTGAGGAAATCAGGGTAAATGGTGTTTACAGGCCTATCGACCTAAGTAGTGACTATTACCTTCAAAAGTCTGCTAGATTGAAAGCATCAAAGTAACAGAAAATCATTGTCTGTAAAAGTCTTTTACTTGTATATATATTACTATAGGCTCTGTATATGTATATTTTGTACAGGCTCAAATTATATATCATATGTTCATATTATAGGCCATGTGCATGTATATTATTTATACCTACAGGCCCTGTACATGTATATTGTTAATACCTACAGGCCCTGTACATGTCTACTGGCCCTGTACATGTATGTTGTTTATACCTACAGGCCCTGTACATGTATATTGTTTATACCAACAGGCCCTGCGTGAAGCCCATGATCAGTTCAAAGCTTCACTAAGTGCTGCTCAGGCAGACTTTAACCAACTGGCCGCCCTGGACAAGAGGATCAAAAGCTTCAATGTCGGAACAAACCCCTACACATGGTTCACCATGGACGCTCTGGAGGAAACCTGGAAAAACCTGCAGAAAATCATCAAGGTATGGCTCGATAGTGTCTGACTAGTTGTTGTTGCAGACCTGTCTCCATAGTGTGCTTAGAAATGTTGATATTACGCAGTAACATCCTACGAGATGACTTGCAGAAAACACTAATGACAAGGACACATTTTGATTAGTATCTACCTTTGTGTCCTGATATTGTTAGGACACAGTTTGATTAGTATCTACCTTTGTGTCCTGATATTGTT